TATTCTTTCTCAACGTTTGGAGAAGTTCTTGGGCCCGGAGCAATCGTGCGACCAAGCTGGTTTTCGAAAGGATTTTTCCACAACCGATCACTTATTTACTTTGTCTTGTATCCAAGAGAAGGCAGATGAATTCCAGCAGGTAGTTTGGTATTGCGCATTGGATTTCCGGAAAGCTTTCGATACTGTCGAACACAGCTCGTTATGGGAAGCTCTTCGAGGCCAAGACGTCCCCGAGCCATATATTCGGCTTCTTCGGTCTTTATACACGGACCAGATCGGACAAGTACGAACAGGCGTGCTCAGGAAGGAGTTCAACATCCAACGTGGAACAAAACAGGGCGACCCACTATCATCTTTGTTCTTCAATGCATTACTTGAACATTGTATTCGGTCATGCAAAAAGAGTTGGGCCAACAAGAATTACTGTTTACGGTTGGACCCGATGAACGGCACCACTGTGACCAATTCACGTTTTGCTGATCACGTTCTTGCTGTGGCGAAGACGTAGCACCAGGTAGAGCAGATGGTATACGACATCAAGCAGGCTACAGCAGCAGTGGGTTTATCCTTACATCCAGACAAAACAAACATATTCACGAATGCAACGAGGAAATCAGGGAATAATGCCGCCGCAACGGCGCGTATTGATGGCATGGACATCGAAATTCTTTCGCGGACGTTGTCGGTAAAATATTTGGGCCGTCTTGTACCTTGCGATAACCCAATCGAGTGCGAGCTTAACAACCGCATCTGGAAAGCGTGGGCAGCATACGGAACGCACAGGCAAGAGTTGGCTAGCAAAGCAGAGTTGGGACCGAATCCGGCTATTGAACAGCACTGTGGCGCCGACGTTATTGTACGGAAGTGAAGTGTGGCCAACGACACGGGATGCGGAACACAAAATCACATGTGTACAACGGAGAATGTTTCGGCACATGCTGGGAGCAGAAAGGAAAGGTATCGCCCGGGAAACATCGGACACGCCAAGTATTGTTTTGAGCGGTGCTGACGTGGAAAGTAATCCTGCCCACGGATCTGAGAGTTCATGCTCCGCTGATGCGGGACATACGTTGCTAGAGCCTTGGGTGGATTTCATCAAGAGGGCGACGAGAACGACAGAACATCATCTACGACAAGCAGCCGTTGACTCATGGGTATGCACCAACAAATGCGCAAGAAATGGAAATGGGCAGTCAGAATGGCAAACATGGACTCCAACCGATGGGCTTCGAAAGCAATGCACGGGGACCCGGCATTGACATCTGATTCGGCTCGTCGGCCAAGTGGGAGACCAAAAAGGCGATGGGATGACGATGTTCGGGAGTATCTTCGCGATCGCGGTGCAAACAGTTCTTGGCAGAAGTATGCAGGACATGCTGCTAGATGGAACGCGATGGAGGAAGGCTTCGTCACAAGAGACAGGATGTGAGCATTAGGTGTTTTACTCGCCATGTAGCTTTATATCGTGATTTCTTCTCCCCCTATTTTCCTCATCCATGTGATTCTGCTTCACAGTCGTGGGGCGCTCCGTTTTTTTCTGCGTCACAGTCGTGATGCGCTCCTCTTCCTGCCTGTCTGTATGTAGCTCTCTCTGTCCTTCCATTTATTTTCCACACGTACGAATCATCTTCCACTACGCCCGGTTGCCGGGACTGCGTGTCCCATACGCCTACCCTCTTAGAGGACTGCCCCATGGGGGCTGGAATGTGGGTCGCATCGCATCGCATCGAAGTCGATTCACGGAGAGGACGTGCGCTGCCACATACTTTCCAGAGATTTAGAAGATGTTTCAACTATGCTTGAAATCTGTTTAAACCATGTGTGCAACATTTTTGGAACATGTTTTACACATTTAAATACATCTTTAATTCAATCATAGGATTGTTAGAGTGTCCAGTGCCATGGCATCCACGACGCTCAGTCCAGGATGTCGACGGCATGGGCACGAGGACTGACAGCATTTCCTGCTCGTTTTGAGCAGGCCTCGCGGTCGGTGTCGCCAAGGACATGGTCCATTCGATACAGGAGACGTCCTTCAGGCAGGTGCATCAACGGAGGGGCGATGACTGGGTCATCTGGCGTCCTCGTAACCGTGGCGTCCGCCTGGGAGAGAAGATTGTCTGGCAAGCCCAGACTCCCTAGGGGGATAGCAGCCTGTGGGCCGTTACTCCAGATTTCGTAATACAGGGAGGGGGGTCTCATTTCGGGGGGGGGTCTCTTCGAGGCTTATCTTGGAGGGCCTGGGGGGTCTGGGGACGATGTTTGGAGGGCTCTTCCCACGGGGAGGTCTGAAATGGCTTCGTCTGGAGGGTCCAGACCCCCTACCTTTATACGAAATCTCGGAGTAACCAGTCTTGGGTGGTCAACCCTCGGTCGGGGGCGGCATCGTGCGAGGTGCAGCTGGCATCGTAACCCTGGGGTGGGCTGCGTCCCTCCCCAGGCGACCGGTGCACATGCTGGGAGGCGCTGGGCAGGGTTGACAGTATTGACGAGCAAGCCGCAGCAAGAAACCCAGGCCCGATCGCGATGATGCCACTGGCGCGTGGTACGACAGCGATGGGGAACGTGCGCCTGGAAAGGCGATCGCTCGGTGGAGCGCGATGCGCAGGCGCGCGCGTGCACCTGGGGGCGCAGGCGCGAGAAGGAGTTCGTGCGCACCGACGCGGGCAAGCGCCAGGGAAAAGGGTAAAAGGTCGAGGTCAACACCTGTCAGGGCAAGGAGGCCATGAGTCACAGCTCACCATGGAGCATCTCCCAGCATCTTCCCTCTCTGAGGTCTGTCCCTCTTAACCAAGGTCATGCCAGCCGAATGTGTTTGACAGAGCTGGTGTTGCACGCTATAATTAAGGCGGGTATCCGGCCATACCTCCAGTTACATGTTGTACCGCTCTGGCATTTACGCCGTGCGTGACGGAACAGTTTCTACACAGTCGCGCGTGGTTTACCCGACCTGGAGTGCCAGGTCGAGGGGGGCGTTTGAAGACGGGTCCGCATGCCACTGTGCATTTGCCGTCGTTTGGCTGAAACGGCTGTCAGGACACGCTTGTTTGATTGCCGCTGTTTTGTTTTGGGGGCTGTCTTGGGCTCCTGTTGGGCAGTCTGTTTTTTTTGGTGCCGCTGTGGGGCCCTCTCGGGCCTTTTTGGGGGCCCTCTTAGGCCATCCTGGAGGCCTCTTGGCAGTATGGTAGGTGTCTTTGGGCCGTCGTGGGGCAGAGTTGCCGCCGTCCTGGGCCGTCGAAAGGGCCTTCCAAGGCCGTCTTGGTTCTCTCTAAAGGCCCTCTTGGGCCGCCTTGGAGCCGTCTTGGAGGCCTTTTGAACCGTCATGGAGTTGTCCTGGGCCGTCTGTGCACCCTTTTGCGGGCTTTTTGGACCGACTTGGGTCCATCTTGGAGGCTTCTTGGGTCGTCTTGAGCTGACGGCAGCTCGAAAAAGGCCAGAATCATCACATTTTTCACAACCGTCGGGTCGTCAACGATGTGGCTTCTTCGGGCCCTGTTGGGGGTCCTCTCGTGGCCCTCTTGGAGGCATCGGGGGCCGTGTTGAGGCCATCTTGGGCCGTCTCGTCTTTTGATCCCGCTGGGCCGTGTTGGAGGCATCTTCGGCTATCAGTCTTGGTGGCATGCTCCTGCCGTCTTGGATGCTCGAGAACACGAACCCTCTGTTGTTCACCTCGGTCGTGGCTTCGGGAACGTGAACTGATTGTCCTTTCAGGAGGTATCGCGGCGTCGGGAGGGGCTGCGGTGCATGTGGCGTTCCGCTACCGGGAGAACGGAAGGGGGTTATAGGTATAGATATATGTATGTATGTATGTATGTATGTATGTATGTATGTATGTATGTATGTATGTATGCATGCATGCATGCATGCATGCATGCATGCATGCATGCATGTATGTATGTATGTATGTATGTATGTATGTATGTATGTATGTATGTATGTATGTATGTATGTATGTATGCATGTGTATATATATAAATATATACACAGATAAGATTTTAGACATCCTGCCAGAGGACCCTTGGTATTTTGCCACGCCTCAACGTGCCAGGGGGCACGATGGCGGGCATTCATGGGGAGTAATGATAAGGAGCATAGGGGGAGGAGGCAGAGGGGAGGTTGGGGGATGCGGAGGAGGATCGGGGGGCGAGCGGCAGGAGGAAAGAGCTCTCCGTGGGATCTATTATCAAGTCCACAGACGACCTCTGCGTTCCAGATGGAAGTGTGTGGGCTGATTGAAGCAGTCGAGAATTTTTTGAGGAGTTTGTGATAGGTGTTACTCGCAAGCTTTAAAACGACGCGCCTTTGCGAAACCACACGGCAGGAGGAAGGGGGCGGTCAGGGAGAAGTGTAGGAGGTGGGGGAGGAGGTGGAGGAGGAGTGGGGAGCTGGGGAGGTGGTGGGGTCCCCCCCGAAGTCTATAGTTTCTCACCACGTGGATCCCCAGAGGTCTCGACCCCGTCCCGGGGACCGGTTTTTCATTCCGACTCGGAGGTGGTGGAGGGCGTGGAGGAGAAGTGGACACGTGGGTGAGGAGTGGAGAGGTGGAGGAGGTTTGGTGGGTGGGTTTCGAGGAGGCGTGCGAGGAGTGGGGGTGGAGCAGGTGGGATTAGGAGCAGGAGTGGGGAGGTGACGGAGGAGTGGAGGCGTGGAGGAGCAATGGAGGAGGTGGGGAGGAGGTGGAGTGGACCGAGGAGTGGAGGGGTGGAGTGGAGTGAGGGCTGGAGTGAGGAGGCCAGGCGGAGGCGTGGCGCGGCGGGGCG